TTTTTTTTCATGAACGATCAAAATTGAAAAAAGGTAGAAAATACTTCCACTAACTCTTTTCTAGTTATTGAATAAAAGATTAAACAACTTTTATGGGATTTTATATTTTTTAAGTTTATAAAATTTAAAGTTTTTACAAAGCATTTTCAATTTTATTTTCTTTTATCTGCTTAAATAGCTGAAAAAGTTTTAGTCGAAACATTTTTTGCTGTGATATGGATTTATTTTTTTTTTTGAAATTTTTTACTATAACTTATTGTTGGGTTCAAAACAAGATATGTTCAGTCACATGAATTTGCCGCTGGTTTCAATTAAAAAGTTTCGGCACAATGATTTCAACTTCTACTTAAAAATTTAATTTTTTTATCTTTCAGAGGTTAATAAAAGAATTAAAGACATTCCTTTTTTTCACATTCGATATACCCTACTTTAAGTACAGCAATAAAAAAATTTCAATACTAATTTTCAGTAAATGCTCTGTAAGTGTTTTGCATAAAATCAAAAATATGCATTTGTTTTTCTGCTTTGTTTCAGTAAAACTGCAGTTGCACAAAGTATTACAATACAAAAACAACAGACATAAGGAGGTAACAATCTCAAATAAATTTTTTACAAAGCATCATAAAAAAAATTGTAAATGCAAGTTCTGAGGCCACTAATTAATATATTATTTTGTTTTTTTTTATCTTCTATTTTCCGTTTTATAATTTGTTACCCAACTTCTGGCAAAAACTGCAGACACAAATATTTAAATTGCATTCGCTTTGCTGCAAATGGCAAGATTAAAAAATGCGCATCGTCTCTATACCCTTTTCATAAAAATGTAAGCCATTAAAAATCCCCATCCACTTCTATTTTTTGTTCTCGAACATTCAGTTAATTTGCGTTTAAATACCTGATTACACTCTCTCAACATTTATGTAAGTATGTGTGTCGCTTATAGAAAAAAAAAAATATATATTACAAAACTATTAACAAAAACACTGCTTTTTTGAGACTTACGGCTACGAATGTGTTAGCAAGATTAGTCATATGATAAAATAAAGAAATTATAAATATTTAGAACAAATCAGAAATCGTCAAACTACATAAAATTCGGCACAAAAAAAATTAAAGTAAAGCAAAACTTATAAATAACTAATGCACTACGTTTTACTACGTTTTATAGTGTTTTTTCTTTCATAAGTACCAAAATATTAGAACAAAAACGCTTCTCAAATTTGTATATATCCTAATTACAAGTCGTTGCAGCTTTCACAACGTTAACATTTTCAATGTTCCTCTTTAATTACAGAAAATATAAGCTTTATTTACTTCCTCCCATCAAGCGAAGACAATCTTAACTGGTCCCATGGGCAGCTGTTTCATGTAGTTCCAGGCATCGACGCGTGTCATCTTCGCTGTGGAGGCACCATTTATGCTTAGTATTTCATCACCATTTCGCACTTGACCAGTTTTGTGTGCGGCGCCGCCTTAGAATAAATTAAAATAAATAAGTAAATGAACAAATTTGCAATAAACAATGAATATACAAATAGGCTAAAATGTTTGATCTGGTGGATTTTAAGTTAAAGTTAAAGTGTACTGGACAAATTAGGAACCCGTAATACGGTTACCGTGTGGTGGGTTCCAGGCTATGAAGGCTTTCATGGTTAGTTAGGTGCTGACATTTTTGCAAAACCTGAAGTCAAACGCGGCCTGCATTGTTCAAGCCTTCCTGTGGTCCATCCAAGAAATACACGACAGAACTGCTAAGAAGGTTGCCGGACTTTCAGGTTGCAACTCATTAGCATATTTGTAAGTGCAAAAGACAACCAACAGCTTTATCATATCCCTTCGCGGAGTAGAGCTTTATCATATCCTTTCGGGGAATCTGTAAACGGCTGTTTAACTTAGTCGGGAGGGTTTAAGAACTATCAGCATCAGTGGACACCTGACAGAACACTGCAAGCAAAGGTACCATCTTTGTTATAGGAGGAACTGTAGATGCTGTTGGTTGGTGGCTCAGAGCATATACTGCGTGAACGATTACTGTCTTGATTCAGAGCTAGGAAATTTTAACATCGTCCTTTTCTGCGATCCAGTAATAGAAATAAACAACCATATTTTGTTGATCATATTGGAAAAACTACTTTAGGATCAGCATTGTCCAAACGGGTCTACTTAAATATAAGTATCTATTCATAGATATATGTACGCTCGGAAATATTTTCATACAAATGAGTTTCAGGCAGTTGTAAGAACTAGAGACTTGTTACCTTAGAAGTTGCTAAAACCGCCTAAAAGTATGCACATATATTTTTCAGCAATTTTGATACTCACCCATGAAGACCTTTTTCACAACCAAAGGCTTATTTCCCAGCGGCGAATCAAAGCCACCCTCAATGGAGAAACCCAGTCCACAG